GTCTGGGTCTGCCTGGTGAGGGCAAGATCCCCACGAAACGGGGCCAGGGCGTGTCAGAGGAACCCCAGCGACCGCCTGGTGCTCGCCACCAAAGCGTCTTGGAAATGCGTGTTTAGGAAGCAAAGCTCAATGGAGGGCTGTCCCACGTGGCTTTTGCAATAGCTGCCTGCTCAGCCAGATCAACTCATTATACAGAAAAACCTGCAGCAGTAGTGCTCGGCTGCAGCTCCCGTCCAAGCGTTCCCTCGTTGAGCTGCTGCGGGGCCGTATTTCTAAAGCGTTGAAAAGAAACTTGGCAATTACAGAGGAACAAGGACAATTCGCAAGAGCAGAAGTAAGCTAATGCTTGAGTTGAAACAGTTTGGTGTAATGGTAGAAGTTGTGAGTGGGGTCAAATATGGAAGTCATGATGTGAGCCCATGAGAGGAGAATTGTCCCGCCTGCAGTGCTTTTATTACCGTTGGATTTTTTTTGGCTCCCTGCTTTCCCTCTCTTTGGGAACCGATGGAAAATTCATGGTCAGAAATTAAAAGATAAATCTGTGCTGAATTTTCATCCTTGGAGGTGTTCAAAACTGACGGACAAGGCCTTGAGCAACCTGGTCTGATGCCAGAGCAAGATCCAGCCTTGGAGGAGGCCCTGCTTTAAGTCCCATATCGAGCCAGATATCCCTTCCAAATTAGTCTATGACTTGGCCACTTTTGCTACTTTGGCCACGTTTAGCCCCTAGTCACCAGATGCAAGGCCAAGGAAAAGCAGATCACGCTAACAGCTGAATACTGACCAAATATAAGGCCATTAAAGAGAGCTGATGAAGCTGTGAGAAGCTACCAGCAGAGACCAGAGGCAGGGAGCAGGTTACAAGGCTGGAAGGGAAAATGCAGCAGCAGGACTATTACCTCAGTAATGCTTTTGCTTAATAAAGAGACCCAAACAAAAAACTGGTGGCAAAAAATTAAAAAAGAAAGAAACAGCCTACTTAAAAGCTCCTCCTGATACAAAAAATCTCCTTTTGGCCTTGAGACAGCCAAGACCAGAATTATCAAGGGAACTGAGTTCACAGCCAGAAGAGCTGCTGGGAAGGGATCTTCAACTACCAGAGTGGGCTCTGGGGCCCGTTACCCAAAGAATACTTCAAATTTGTGACAGGAAAGTGTCTTGAGGACTTTTCTTTTGTCTGCCACTGAAATCACTGCAGATGCTGTGTTGTGTAATGCCAAGGAAGATGAAAATTGTGAATTCCTGCACGCCCTCCCAGCTGGCAGCAGCTCCTACAGGATTAACAAAAAGAAAAAGGAGTATCTGATTTCCCTACCTATAGCTGACTAATTCCTACAAACTTCATCGCTGCTCCATTTGAACTGGGGAGGTTTTGCCACCGGCGCATTTAAGAGCCACTGTAGGAGCACAGTGCAAGGGTTTAGGATTAAAGCAGGGCAGGACTAGTTAGGTTTACTAACATGCTTTTTTTAACATGCTCTTCAGCACAGGAAAAAATGGAAAATAATTAGAAGAAGTAAACTCTGTGTTGCTCTTTGAAATGTTATGAGCCAACATCATTTTGATAACCCCGTACAGTGGATAAGTTGCATAAAGTGAACGAGTCTCTAGAAAAGCCTTATTCCAGGAAACAAGGATGGTAAATCACATGATGCCCCATGAGATGGGGTATATTGCCAAATTGCCGCTTCAAGGGAAGAGAGCGTTTTCGGTAACTAGGATGTTGGCTAATCTGTTTCAGACGTTTGCGATTCCCACTGCCAGGAGAAACCCCTTCTTCCCCAGCCCCTGCCTCGTTACCTGAGTTTGTAATTGCTGATCTCTACCAAAGGCTTGTGGCTACCTCTATTTACTGCCAGAGGAGCCTACTTTTTCCCTTGGAGAAAACTGCCAAAATTTTCCATTGGGAACTCGGCAGTGGTACAACCCTTCAGTGCCTTTTTTAACCACAAGCAAATAATTCTGTAGAGTTAAATGCGCTCATCCAGAGCCCAAACATTAAGAGTAAAGCAGCAGCAGGACAACCCTTTAATCCATGACGAGTTTAAAAGACTGACCCTAACACTTTGTTTTGTACCATCTAAGTCGCAATATCTAAACACCAATGAACTAAGGAATTTTTTTTCTTTTTTGGCGGAGCAATGCAATACAGAGCCTTTTTTTAATGTTGTGCCTCTAGGACGGTTGTTTGACACAGATGGATAAGCAACAGAGATGTGTCTTTTTTCATTTACTCGCTATCCGGTTGCACAAATAACCTGAGCCTGTTTGTCTCTGCCTGGATTCTCCCATCTCCTAAAAACCTCTTGGTCTGGTTTGGACATTTGAATACAAAACAGATGCCTTGGAAACTTGGGTGTTAAAAGCAAACTACGACTATCTACAGCAAGCCAAAGGCAGCTTAGTCTGCATATATTAACTGCAAATATGAAAAGGTCTGAGGATATGATTTTATCCTCCTTGCTATGTAACAAACTTATGTTTGTTATATAATTCATTATATAGTTCAGTGCAATTTAACTAAACCAATAACTATGATTACTGAGGCCAAATGAACACTGAAGCCCTATTTTATGGCATCTAATAGTTCTTTTAGCCACATATTAATGTGGCTAAAAGTTGTAACTTTTTTCACTTGGAAGGCTTTCTTTTATTGAGACCTTCCTGTAAAAGGTCTTGTCATATCCTTTTACAGTTCTGTAGTTCTGTCACTGTTTCTTTACGGATGAAATTCTGTATTCCAGCTGATGCCCTCTACGAACTGACGCTACTAACACCACTGGTAACAGCTGGATGATTAATTTCTTAAAAATTGTAAAAGGCACTGGGGCAAGGAGAAGAGGATCTTATCTGTGCATTTTTCTTTGGTGTTTCTAGGTTGAATGAGTTCTTCCTTGAAAGCAGGTGACTTCTGTTGCCTAAAAATGTTTCTTCTCTACCTCCTCTCCCACCACTCTCATTCATTTCAAAATACAGTAGAGACTAAAGCATCCTGCTAAATTTCTTAGTTTTAATCTTAACAGAATTTTGAGCCCTGAGAGCCCCTAGGCCCAAAGAACCACGATTTTAGAGGTCTTTCCTTCAGTGGATTAAATGGAATTGGACAGAGACTCTCACCACAAAAGAGGGTCCCAGGCCCTTGAGCATTTCAACTCCCCGGTGAGCACAGAGACCCTTTTGGCTCTCATGCCTGTGCTACACCATTTCCTGTAGGATGCTTCAGTCTAATGTTAAAATGCTTGCGAGACGGAGCTTCTTCTTGGCTGCTCAGTGCACCCTTGGGATATCTGGAGGACGATTTGCCATGCAGGTGCATGCTAAGCATTTAGCACTCAAATTTGATTTCCATAGGTTTAAATTATCCCAAGGAAAATTATGTACCTTTTTCATGGAAAAATATAATTTGATAAAAATAAGGAATGGAAAAGAAAGACCTAAAACAAGCAAGGCCGATATCAATATATATACATCTTCAAACCGCGTTACAGAATCTCACCCCGACTTGATGCTGTGCTAAGAGCATTTAGCAGCCGGCTGTTTGCTTTCCTGCGCTTATGCGTGTCTGGTTCAGCTGGTCCCTTTGGCTTCGGTGCCTTCCATGCGGGGATGTGGGATGTGAGCGGAGAAAGCGGTGGAGCAGAGCTTGCCCTCGTGCCCCTGCAGCGATCGTTGCTGCAGAGTAGAGGCACTGGCACTCGAGGCAGCAGAAACAAGAAAACCTGCTCTGTCCCTCGCGTGCATCTCTATAATATCTGGCAGAAAGCATTCCTGTGAAGCACTAGCCATGCGTGCAATAAATGCCCAGAGCCTGGAGACACTGAGGCAAGCAGGTATGGAGAGCCCAGGAGATAGGGCCAAAAATGCTCCGCAGAGGGAGTTTTGCTGAGCAGGTTTTCTGGTGGGTTTCGGTGGAGCGTGGCAGGGTTCTCCTTGCTGTGGTGCATGCCAACTGGACGTCGCTGATGTTACAGGAGAGGCTGAGGCTGGGATCCCCCCAGCAAGCGTACCTGGGGCTCGGGGTTGCCTGCTGCCTGCAGCATCACAGACCCAGGCCCTGCAGCAGCTCTTCCGGGACGGCCAGAGCCTCTTGTGGGCCCTGGCCGGTGCGAGCAGTGCAGCTTTGCTGCCTCTAAATTTCGTTTTTATTTGCGACCTTAAGTGATCAGCATGAAAAAGAGCCAACGTTTTGCAGGAAGAGGTGGAGAGACAGTGTGGCAGTTTCCTCCCCACCACATACAGAAATAAATGACCTTTTGTTCCTTGGCTTCTCAAATGGGAAATCCACCCCCAGCAGGACACAGAGGAAACTCAGTTTGAAACAAACGTTACTCCTGGAATTTGCTGAATCACAGCCCAAGGGCGCACTGCACATTTAAAGATGAGCAATGAGACAACTGACAATTTTTTATATGGTCTTAACTTAAAAAGGCGAAAAAATAATCTCCCTAGCATTGTCTTTCATTTACTATCTGTTAGGCGGACCATTGCAACAGAGACTTGAGGAAGGGTACCCAAGTGCAAACTTTAGTGTCTCCTTGAAAGACAACAGACAAAAAAGCCTTTCCTGGGGTGAAAGTCTATAAAATGCTTTACATCAGCATTTTTACTACATCTTAACTATCGAAAGTGAGGCAAAGTCAGTCTTCTATGATGAAAGGGAAAAAAAATCCGCTAAAAGAAAGGAAGACTGTTTTAACTAGACAGCACCACTTGAACTTCACACACCAAAAGAAAAAACGTGCTCCTGAAATAGTTTCCAGAGATCCTTGCACAAGAGTGGCTGATGGTTAGGCAGAGCCCTAGCAAAGCCGATATGTACCTTTTTTATCGGTTGGGTTTTGCTCACTGAAAGGCTTCTCAGATGCATACAGAACTGAAGCGGTTGCAGTGTTCCCCTCCCAGCGTTAATGCAGACCTGCTCCCCCACTACCTTTATTTGAAGAGGAAGAGGGAGGCGTGATTCATCTGCATTTTGCCAGCCCCACAGGGGTGCCCCGTGTACCTGCAGGAGGTGCGGCTCCCTGGCAAGGACCGCTGCGTGACAGCTCCATGTTGCAAGCCACCGTCTCTTGGGGTGAATTTCAGCACAGCGCATGGATGTGACTAGCCAGCAATAGGTCTTGAGTGACCTGAGAGAGTCATATTTCCTCCCTTGGGGCACAGTATGTCAAGTTTGCATCTTTTCCTAAAAGGAAAAACAAATATAAATCTGAAAAATAAAAAACTCCAAGGAGTCCAGCCCAGATAGACTGCACAGTATCGCAAGGGGTCCTAGAGACCATATTTTGCTGGATATTTCTGTGAGCAAAGGCTGAAGCACTTACAGAGTTCTCTCTCGCCTAGAGGTGACGGGCACTGAGAGCCTCCACAACGTTTGCACAGCTTGTGGGTGTGTAAGATGTGCTACTGTGTTGAGACTTTAGGTCAGCTCCAGAGCTAATGCTTTTTTGCAGCAGTTGTCACACAGTTGATCTAACAATACAAATATACCGTCATGTGTGTGATAAGCGATGCACTGAATGCTCGTGTGTGATCTTCTTTGAAAATAAACTGAAAAAGGGCAGGAGGCCAGAGGAGCTGGGAATAAGAGAAGAGGATCACTGTACGGAGGGCAGCCAAGCCTGGCCCAGCAGGACATTTGTCGCATATTGTGCAGCGTGCACCAGGCTGAAAGTTAACTATCTGTTTGAGTTTTAACCTTTTTTTTTTTAAATGAAAAGCTAAATCGCTGCCTCGATCCTTAGTCTGCCTGTTCTCCATTTTGAGGGAACCCTCTTCTCATATTACAGTGGACTGTAAAACCAACGCCGGTGGTATTTTGTGAAATAGCAATGGCTTTAGTGATTCATCTATTGATCCTTACATGTTTCACCTGCCTTTACGCTTGCACACCTTCTCTGAAGCTTGTTAGGTGGCTGTGGTGCACGATTGTTTCATTTGACAAGGCATTCATAATGCTCTAATTTCTTAAAAGTAAACCCAAATACAGATACAGGAAGCTAGGGTAGTGATTCTACCAACTGATGAATAACTTGAGTATCTGAAATACGATGTGATAGAATCGTTAGTCCGTTGCCTGCTAACACGCTACAGAAATAGGCTTCTTCTGTTAAAAAAAAAAAAAAGGAGAAGAAAAAGGAAAAAGAAACAAAGCCAGAGTGAGGCACCTAGGGCACAGTTTTAATGAAGACTGCTTTCAGGTATTCCACGACACACAGTAGAGTAATTCAGGGGCAAATAGGGGCCACTCTACCCTCTCTTTCATAAAATCCTCATACCCCACCCACACTGAATCGTAGCCTGTTTTCTCCCTTCCCACCAACCACCCAAAATCTGGGGTGCAAAATACCCCTAACAGAGCCTGTTCCATCCCCAGCTATGTCATAAAAGCATACTATTTCCAATAAATAATACATGGATGCAATTACAAGTCTGTTTAAGAGAGAATGAAAGAAAAGAAAGTAAAAGCAGATGAGCTCAGTCCTGAGTGAATCTATTGCCAGAACAGAAAGGCCACTTTCTAAATAATTCAGAAGTTCCCTCATTGTGTTCAGAGATGAGGACAGCCCTTATCCCAACTACTTCTTATGTGGGCAGAACAAATGTTCAAGCCTTGTGTTTCACGTCTCTGAATTCACAGGAGCAGAGCCAAGGGTAGCTGAGTCCATGTAGAATTTCACAGAATTTCAGCCAATTTATTTGTCTGCTGCTTATTATCCATGTATTTCTCTGTGTCCTAAATAGTCATCACAAAGGACTATCATTAGGACTAGCATTACAGGATAGAATCCCTCTCCTTCAATGCCTTAAATATTTCCGTAACTGGATATTTTTTTACTATATTAGCTATCAAACCATTTTGACCACACTCCATGGGGGTGGGGAGAGGAGTAGATAGGAGGAAAGAAGGGCTTACAATATGGCCTGAGAAGCAGGCTTTGAAGAACGGAGCTGACAGTTGAAAACTCCCCGTGGAAACCATCTCATCTCGGGATTAAACCAGGACGCTCTTAGCACGACTGTCTCAGGTTTGAAGGCTGTGATGCCACCAGTTCCCTGGAAGTCAGCATTAATTGTGTAGCAAAGGTGTGGCTGAGTCCATCAGAAACGCTTCTTGAGAAAGCAGTGCCCCTTAATTATATTACCACATTACCAGAAGTATCTGGGAAAAGAAGGCAAAAACTTCCAAGTCACCTGCACACTGATCTTTACCTCTTATTAGCATAACAATTCCCATTAATGGTCTCACAGGCACTGTACACAGCTGTCTCTTCCTTCAGCTATGCAGTGACCTTTGCATCAGAGATAATTAGAGGTATGTGAAAGCTTAGTCCCAATGCCACTGAAACCAAAGGATTATTTTCATGAAAACTACGAATTTTTTTTTAATCTAAAATTGATTTGTAGATTAGCACTTTGCTTTCATCCAAAATTTCTAAATTGAAAATTTGTGGGAGGCCCCACAAATCTTACCCAAATTATTTTCATAACATCCTTGCAAATATCAGGGCCCCTAAGGGCTTTGACAGGCCTCCCTATCTCTGCCCATCCCCTGGGGCCTCCCCCACCCGGGCCCCCATTTCAGCCCAGCCCCTGCCCCGTGACATCGCAGCGGCGCCAGGCTCCAGCCTGACTGCAGCCCTGCCCTGCTTGGCCACAGTTCCTGCCGACTCCAAAGCCAACCTGTGGGCAACCATGTGACCCAGCCTCAGCCCGATGGCGGTCCCATGGCATCGGGACTGCCCCCAGCTGCCCTGCTCTCTTATGGGGTGGTGGGACAGGCCCCAGGGAGCCGCTGGCCCCACAGCACCCTGGCAGCGAGGCAGATGTGGAGAAATACGACTCAGAGCAATTACTTTTTTTTCCCCCTCATGCTGTCATCCCCTAGCTGGAATGCTGGAATATGTTGCAATGTCTAGTAGGGAAAAGAAAAGTACTTACCTTGAGTTGATTTCTGTTTGAGCTACTACATCTTTTGTATACAGTTGTAGAATATATTTCATAAATATTTTTATTACAGTCTCTGAATTTATAATTTTCAAAGTTGTTTAGAATTAGACCAGGATACAGGTCCTCTCTGCAGATTCATTTATTCAAGTGGTATTCAAACTGTTCTATTTTTTTCTGCATAAATTGGCAATACTTGTTTGTGCAGATCACTGAAACTCTCATTCCAGGTCCTTCTTCTTACCTCTTCACTTCAGTGACCTCTTCCTCCTTGACTCCTAACACTCAGCTTTGTTTTCTCAGGGCCTTTTTTCTCATTAAAACTGAGCTTCTAGGCTTCCTTACCTATCTTATCACCGTCACTCCCTTTTCTGAGACTATCTGTTAGCACTTCCTCTTACGGTTTGGTCTCTACCCCAGTTTAAGCCATAAACTTCATCTATGCTACACACTAAGTACATGCTGTCTTCATGTTCAGAACTAGTTAATAGTTCTGAAGATAGTTCTGGCTATCTTGAAATGCCTTAACCTCAGTTCTTTCATTATTCTGGTATAAAAAGAAAAAAATGGGCATATTTACAAAAAGCATAAATATTCTATGTGCAAAAAAATCGCTCTCATTCCATCCTCTCACCTGTCCTAGTATTTGCTCCTCCACTCGTTGAACATAGAGACTTTGAAGGAAGAACTGTCTTCTGTTGTTCCTTCCGTTGCTATTAAGAGAAAGCCCTACGTAGGCTATCTAATGATGCATAATCACACTGCTTACTCGCACTATATATAATACAGATAATGTCCTCTCTGCCTACTTGCACTATATATAATACAGGTTATGTCCTCTGAATCTGTTAATCCTACAGGAAGTGAAAATTAAAGCTTGGAGGTAAGCTGATGAGGCTATACGTACCCCTCTAGATTAGTCAGAAGGAAACTCTGCTTTGAAACATACAAATCCAGTTTTCCTTAATGGGCCTCTCCTAGTTACAATTCCTCAGGAAAAAAATGTGATTAAAATGACAATATAAGCATGGAATCTGAAAATGTGGTTCTGACAACTAGCCAAATTCCAGGGCAACAGAGGGGTCTCAAAAGCTCGATCCCACTCTGAACGCTCCCCAAATTCAAGCATTTGGATGTAAGGTTTTGTTTGTAGTTTCATTCTTAGCTGACATGTTTAGAGCATTTTATAACAATAATGTATTAATGTATTCAAAAAATACTGGAAGCCATCAACAAGAATGAAAACTACAGACTGATATTTAATAACTTCCTCTCCAAAAAAAAGGATGAAAACAAAGAAAACCTGTGAAAATCAGTATTAATAAATTGTATTTTATCTGGCTCACCACAGAGTGTCACTGTTATCCCACACATTTCTTGATGGAGAGGCTCTCTCAAAAGTAATCAAATAGCTCCTGCCAAAAGACTCTCAGAGCCCTGTGGTTTGATTAGGGAGTACATCCTCCTATAGAGCAGTTAGACCCATAGCATCCTTTAGTGGCAGGATCACTTTGAAAGAGGTTTAGCTGAACAACACCTGTACATACATTTTGTGTACTTATTCATTGACGTCTATAGAAAGCTGACAGTGAAGACTGCGTAACTTGTGAATGTGATGCCAGCTATGTACAGACAATACTCAGCTCTGTATCATTTTCATACCAGATTTAGTTGGCATCATATCCTAGGATGCTGCAGTTTGCGTGAAAACAGTTGACTGACGGAAAAAAAATGCTGAAAGAGGAGCAGAGAAATATTTTGAAGAAATTGCTTCTTTGTAGTATCTTCTAACAAATCACTGCTGGTTGCCATCATGAGTCCTCACTGTTTGCAGTCACTCATACAGCTGCAGATGTAGAACAGACTTTTTTCATCTACAACTGACAAATGACTGTACGTTCTACTAAACTTGGATCTGTCTGAGACTATGCAACTTGGTGATCTCCCGTTTCAACAGCACGTACTTAGGAATTAAACGCTGATTCAGGTTGCACTACGGCTCTGGGTGTAATTCAATGCCAGGTTATTGTTCATTTCAAATCTGAAAAGTTTTTGAGTTTGGTTACTTGAGAAAAGCACTTCATATTCATCTGCTACGGTTATCAAAGGAGATGTAAGTTGAGACTATCAGTATAGGGAGAGAGAGAGAGCGAGCGCGAGCGAGCGAGACAGCAGCCAGCTTCTGAGCTGTTAACTCACTGAAGTCAGCAGTGAGTTACATGCATTTGCTGTACACCACATTAAGCATTCCTTTTATTCACCAGTGTTTGCCTCTAAATATCATTGCTTTGCTTGGTTGCTTGCTTTCAGAACTTTTTCAGCTAGTCATAGCTTTTCCAAGATTGAGCTAAGATTTCATATTCCTTTCCCCCCTAAAAAGCTGATGGGGGAAGGTTGTTTTTTTGTTATTGTTGGCTTTTTAGAAAAGGAAAATAGAAAGAAAAAGAACAGAAACTAGTAACTAGCATTCACTAGATTATAAAGTGACTTCTGTCCCATATAGGACATTTTTTAGCTGTTTCAGCCCATTGTAAAGCCAGGAATACAAGGAACATAGCAAAAAACTGACTGCAATTATTGTGCAGTGTTCAAGGACTTATTACACATTGATAACTAATGACAAGTAACTTCATGCTCACATGAAAAAAAACTTGACTGCGGGCTTGTGCTGTAGTACTTGTTAAAGCAACTGGGCTTCTATATATTATAAATCAACAGCTCTTCTTTTTATTACAGTACTGAATAGGCTCATAGTCCTGTTTACACAGCTCCACCTCCTTACCATTTCCTAGCAATGTCAGGAAAGGCAGTCACTCTGAACAGATGATTCCTTTGTGTATCCACACCCATGAGCAGAGTAAGGGTGGTGTATACGCACTGCTGTATCTCTGGCAAAAGGGAAACACTGGTGTACATTTGGGTGGTGTGTATTAGATTGTGATTCCCTTTCTGTCTCTTTTAGAGCCTCCACGTATCGTCTCATTTATGCCTTCGCCTTCTGTGGCTCTACAAGCTGCAGAACATATTCAGCGGCCTCTTCCTGGTGCCAGCTAAAATGGTCACTCAACAGTCCGGTAAGCAAGAATTTGGCAAGGAAAATCTCTTTTACCCTGGACCTACTGCTGTGCCCTTTTTGCTTCATATTCCAGGGCAAAATTTCTTCAGCCTCACTGATTCCTTCTCATAGCAACCTATCTTAATTGAATTCCTTGGGTGCTGAAACTGATTTTCCTCTTTTTGCCTCTTCAGAAAGCTTTGTCCTAAATTGCCCGCTCCCAAAGACAGGTTGATACCTCCTACTGTTTGGTATTTCAGATCAACTGGTCCTCGACTCACTGCAAAGACTGCAGGCTCCAGCTGCTTCATGACCCTGTACACAGTCAGGACAATAAGTAAATTTTAAGAAAAACGGAAGCCATTTCCTGGTAACAGCTTCTTGTAACAAAGCAGCTCCAATCTTCTTTTTCCTGGATCCTCCCCCACAGCTCTGTCTCCTCCTTGATCTGCAGGTGTAAATGCAGAGATTATGTCAATGGTAAGTCTGAACAGGTCCTTTAAAAACGCTTGAAACCATTTTTGGTTTTTAAGTGCGAGAGGAGTCTTTATCTGCGACGGCGCCAGGCTGCTAACACGAGTTACCAGCTGGTCTTAGGCATGACAGGCCCTGCCCTGAAAGACAGCGAGCGTGGATCCCGCCGCAGGCCTTAGTGCCTCTTCTAGCTGCTCTCCGCCTCATTTTCCCTTCAGCTCCACGCCGGTAGAGCCCAGGGGCAGGCAGGCGCCATTTGACACCCTCCCTGGGCAACGGTTGTCCCCGGGAGAGGCAGTCTTGACCACTAGGCGACTCCCGCAGGGGCAGCGGCGCTCCGCTGACCCTGCTGCGGA